GAATGAGCCCGTGGACATACAATGAAGAAGAACGCCCAACCAAAGCCATTGCAATTGACAATCACCCGAAGCTATCCAGATCATCTGTGTTAGGCACAGCAGTGTCAACATCGACACTGACTAGGAATCGTTCCACATGGAAGGGGTCTTCCACGATGCAGGTACACAATTAAGGCACCCGGGTTATCNTTGCAATTGACAATCACCCGAAGCTATCCAGATCATCTGTGTTAGGCACAGCAGTGTCAACATCGACACTGACTAGGAATCGTTCCACATGGAAGGGGTCTTCCACGATGCAGGTACACAATTAAGGCACCCGGGTTATCCACGCCATCTCTGCCCCGTCCCTCTACAAAACCAGTGACTGACGTCATCACACACACCCAACACCTGTATTCAGGAAAAAAAAACGGAAAAATTGTTGGCAACACAAGAAATGTTTGTCCGTGCGCCACGGTTCGATGCCGTCCGCCTGCTCTGGTGCCGCTGNCCCGTCCCTCTACAAAACCAGTGACTGACGTCATCACACACACCCAACACCTGTATTCAGGAAAAAAAAACGGAAAAATTGTTGGCAACACAAGAAATGTTTGTCCGTGCGCCACGGTTCGATGCCGTCCGCCTGCTCTGGTGCCGCTGCTCCGGTGCCGCTGTGGCCAGTCCTAGCACGACCAAACTCGACCCGCTCCGCTTCGTACACGCTCTCGTTGCTGTCCTTCCCAGTCGGTTCCTCGCTTTCTCCCTCGTTGCACTTAGGGTTCTCGGTCTGAAGATTCTCGCGCCGAAGGGTCACAACCAGCCCAATCAGCTCGTCACCACCTGTCCCCTCCTCCTTTGACGGCAAAACCAGGTTACTGAGACAGTACAGCTCCCTCTAGCAAACCTAAGGCCGTGTACATAGTGCCCGTCCACCTTTCTGATGACGTCTGCCCCCGCGCACAAAGATGAGATGGGCATTGCTGCCTACAACGACGGCCTGGAGGCCCGCGCATCTGCACTTTTGTACCTGACGCACCAGTGCCGACCCTACTCCACCACTACGCACGCCTCGCGGCGGGTGCGCCGCAGCAAGAAGGTATCGGTCCCCTGAGGGTGAGTCTAGCCCTGCTCGCTAGAAAGACCCCCCCCTCGCTATGGGTCATGCCTACGCAAAACCTTGCCGAGGCAGCGAGGGGAAGAAAGGAAGAGATGATGCGAGAGGCCGAGAGGCCCTGCAGTGCTGCGGCAGCAACAACAACAGCATGCAGGGCACGACCTTCTTTGCGAAGACAGTCAGTAGCGCGGCGCTAGTACGCAATCTGAACCGATCCCGCGGGGAACCATCCTGACAAAACACACAGCAGCAGCAATAGTAGACCCTCACCCCCTCGACGGATTCTCTCGATGATGGCAGGTGTGATCTGGACTTGGGAAGGTGTGTTATTTGTGTGATCATCGGTCTGATCTTTTGAAGCAGTTGGTTGGACCCACTCAACATCAATAAATACCCTCCAGGTTACACATGGCGCATGCCTACATACAGTATACCCACGGTGCACAGGTCGCAAAGGCCCGGCCCCTCTTGGTTTTTATAGCTGGTCTCAGACCAGCGTCTCAGCGGTGCTGCGTTCCTTGGTGGTGTTCTTGCGTCTCTGTCGGTGCTTCTTGTCCTGGTCTGGATCGCGTGCGCCCGCGATCTCCGCTTAAAGGCACGCCTTTTCGCGTAGAAACCCCGGGGTAGGGGAGCACAATCTCCTACGAATATAGGCTACATATGCCGATGAAGCACGACCATCTGCTCTCGGAGCACGACGAAACTGGTGTGGATAAGAGCGCACTCTTTTTCTTCTTCCGCAGGAGCGAGCAGATCGTCTACCGGTGCCCTGTAGATCTCGTTCTGGTTCAAAAGGTGCGCTAAATAGGCTTCCCGGAAACCAAGTTTTGGGGCCCCTGTATCGCGCGGCGCAACTTTGGCCGATAAATAGAGCCTTTTTCCCCTCCTGGGGACGAAGGGAAAAATGTCGCTCGCTTCGCTCGCTTCGCGGCTCATCATAACAACGAAATATGTACGAAGAACATAAAAAAAATGTGTGTGTGTAGAATTTGTAAACCAAATTGGTGGCTTATCTTGCTTATGGTCTTGTGATAGGATTCAGATGTATGTGTAGACGGAACATACATTGTAGAAGGGAATGGTTCCTTCTAGAAGGCGCGGAGAGATGTAACTCCCCGCGGAAGGATAAAACAGGGGACAGGACCTAGTAGCCCCTGCTTGTACTGAGGATCCTGCTCCCCTTGGTGTCATTCCTACCGATACCCAAGGCAACAGCCACAGCTGCTGCTGTTCTGCAAGAGTAATAACAAGTGAGTTCTTCACAGGTCAACCAGGCTTCATCACGCGTGCATACCACTAGACTACACTTGGCGTTGTCGGCTTATTCGTACGGTGTTGTCTGGGTTGGTTGTGTNACCTAGTAGCCCCTGCTTGTACTGAGGATCCTGCTCCCCTTGGTGTCATTCCTACCGATACCCAAGGCAACAGCCACAGCTGCTGCTGTTCTGCAAGAGTAATAACAAGTGAGTTCTTCACAGGTCAACCAGGCTTCATCACGCGTGCATACCACTAGACTACACTTGGCGTTGTCGGCTTATTCGTACGGTGTTGTCTGGGTTGGTTGTGTCTTGGCACGGTTTGGTGCTTTAGGCTACTGTTGCAGTTTTTGCGCTCTCGTCCCAACCGCAGCTTAGCTTTGCCTCGCTTATCGAAATGTCTCAACCTAGCGTCGGCTCCTCGGACTCCGCTTCGGTGAGTCCTGAGCATTCAGAACCTTCGCGTTCGCCAGTGTCATCGCCCCGCGTAGCGACCTTCGGGTCCCCAGCAGCTGGTCGTCAGACCACACAGCTGCTGCTGTCCTCGGACAGTGCTCGTGCCGCTGACCCTGTTGCTGAAGCCACTCGTTTGTCAGAGCTTTCCGCTCAACGCACACGGGAGAGGTTCGCCTCGCCGGCTTCGGCCGACGCTAACCCCGTGGGTGCTGTCCTCAAACCGCCAGCACCCACACCTGGAACTTCGGTTCCCGCCTCTGTACCTTTGGGTGTACAACAGCAGTCCGTCTCGCCGGCTGCTGGTGATGAGCTTTGCGAATTCCCGCGTGAACCACATAGATAGACTTGAATTCTCCTCTCCCTCCATCCACCGTTGAGCACTCTACTCTTGGGACAGACATCGGTTTCGACCATCATGCTGGCCCTGTAGTACCGCCCTTGTCTAGTCAATCGGCTTCTCGCAGCACGTTGCGATTTGACTTTACAGTGCAGGCAATCCCCCCTTTTCTTCGCGTAGCGATCGTGTACAAGCAGCGGCTCGCGCCCAACGGCNGATGAGCTTTGCGAATTCCCGCGTGAACCACATAGATAGACTTGAATTCTCCTCTCCCTCCATCCACCGTTGAGCACTCTACTCTTGGGACAGACATCGGTTTCGACCATCATGCTGGCCCTGTAGTACCGCCCTTGTCTAGTCAATCGGCTTCTCGCAGCACGTTGCGATTTGACTTTACAGTGCAGGCAATCCCCCCTTTTCTTCGCGTAGCGATCGTGTACAAGCAGCGGCTCGCGCCCAACGGCTTCGTGACCGCCGTGCATCTGCTTCAGTGACATCACCGCTTGCAGATTCCGCCGCATCACATACGTCTGTTCCCGCAGTTTCGACTACACGGGTGATTTCGATTGTCTCTGGTACACTCCCTACAGTGGCTTCGGTTACCCCGGCCCTTTCGGTTGATTCCAACGCATTTGATTCCTTAGTTTCGTCCACACAGGCAATGTCGTTTGCCTCCGATGCTTTGGCTTCAGTAGAGTCGACTACATATGCGGTTCCGAATGTTTCTGATGTGCATGTTTCTGCGGTCTCGACTGCTGCAGGTGTATTTGCCTCCATCCCTTTAGCTCCGCCTCTACCCACAGCAGTTTCGACTGCCCGCGATGCTTACCTCTGCAGCCCCACCTTTCATGTTCCCAACACCGGTGCATCTGTTTCTGCGGTTTCGACTGCNGCAGTTTCGACTACACGGGTGATTTCGATTGTCTCTGGTACACTCCCTACAGTGGCTTCGGTTACCCCGGCCCTTTCGGTTGATTCCAACGCATTTGATTCCTTAGTTTCGTCCACACAGGCAATGTCGTTTGCCTCCGATGCTTTGGCTTCAGTAGAGTCGACTACATATGCGGTTCCGAATGTTTCTGATGTGCATGTTTCTGCGGTCTCGACTGCTGCAGGTGTATTTGCCTCCATCCCTTTAGCTCCGCCTCTACCCACAGCAGTTTCGACTGCCCGCGATGCTTACCTCTGCAGCCCCACCTTTCATGTTCCCAACACCGGTGCATCTGTTTCTGCGGTTTCGACTGCTGCACGTGTACGTTTGCCCATTCCGTTAGCTCCGCCCCTACCCACAGTAGTTTCGGCTGCTCGCGATGCTAGTATTCCTGCAGCTCCGCCTCTGCTTACAGTTTCGAATATGCGTACAGGGTCGTCTGCCTCCTTCCCTGCCCCTACTATTCCCACACAGGGCCCTGTGCCAGCTGCTCCGGCTGCTGTAAACACCGCTGTTTCTCTGCCAGTAGATACGCCTCTGCTCGCATTTTCACCGATTCACGTGTCACACCGGCCCATCTGCCCAGCTGCCTCGGCTGCTGTAAACACCGCTGTTTCTATGCCAGTAGATTCGCCTCTGTCCGCATTGTTCACAGATTCGCGTGTTCGCACGGCGGGCTTCCAGCCTACAGCTTCGACTGAACTTGCTATGCTAGCTTCTGCTTCGGCACCACTAGCTGCAACTTCGGTTGCTTCTGCGGTCCCCACTGCCGCTGTACCTTTTATTTACCCTGACGCGGTGCCCCCACCCCCCCCCATCTTTTCCCCCTCGCATGAACGTGCTGCTACGGCTGAGGCCGTGCTTCGTCTTGAAATCGCAGAGCACCGCAACCGCCACCGCTACGACATCCTACGCCGTACGACGATGGTGGCCACGACTCCTACCGTCAAGCCCGAGACGACGTGTTCTGCTGGGCTGTCGACTCCGGAGCTTCGGGCTTCAACCACCGGAGGCGGAGCGAGGTCCACAGTCCCCGACAGGCCGGCCGAGCCGGTTCCGCTGGCCCTGCTCCCCGCAGCACCCTCGGCTTCGGCCACCACCGCTGTTTCGGCGGCACCCTCGGCTTCGGCCGCCACCGCTGCTTCGGCAGTGCCCCCGGCTTCGGCCACGGCTTCGGCCACGGCTTCGGCCACGGTTGCGCCCCTCTCCTGCCCGCCGTGGCTCCCTCTGACCTTGTGGGACGTCATGTTCGCGAAGGCCAGGGTGACCGCCTGGACTGACGCCGTTCGCATGGCGAGCGGCGCGGCCGTCGATGCCGACCGCGCGGCAGCCCAACTCGCGCAGGACGCCCTCGCCGACGAGGAATTCTATTCCGAAGTCTCCGCCCGCGAGGGGGAGCTCAAGGTCCTGCGGGCGACACGTGAATCCAACGCACAAAAAATCCTTGCTCTGGAGACCCTCCAGCAGCAGTACGACCGGCAGCGGAGTCAGCTGGCGGCCACGCTGACTGCCGACCGGCGCCAGGAAGATGCCCTGGTGGAAGCTGGCCGTGAGGCCGACAAAAGGCGCGAACAGGAACTTCGCGAACGTGCGAAGCGGTCGCCCTGCGTCTCGGGCGCCGGAGGGAGAGCTGCGTCAATATCAACTACCTCTGCCGCCCCGTCCCGCATGTATGCAGCTGCTGCTTCGTGCATCCCGGTCACCCGCTCCTCGTCGTCGCGGAATGGCCCTGTCGCTTTCGAGTCCGGCGACTTCAGCTTCACCCCGGCCAAACTTGCAGATGTTGCTCAATTCGCTCAGTTCAATTTCCTCCCGGAGGATCGCGCATCGGTCAGGGACCTGGCCACGGCAATGGCCACCGCGTTGCCGGCGGCCGTCGCCATCCAGGAGGCGGTCGATGTGGCCAACACCTCCCGTCCGGATCTTCGGGACCTGGCCGGCCGTCTCCTCGCGGGGATGCGCAAGGCCAACGCCCGCGCCACTGCTCCTGTGGTGTACCCTGGCTGCAGCGGCCCGTCTTCAGAGACCTCCGGTGGCTTCCAGCAACCAGCGCCCGGCCGTGTCAAGAAGGCGCAACCGTCACGCTCGAGTCGGGAGTGGTCCTGGCAGCTCAGGAGAGGAGTCTGGCTGGAGTTCGGCTGGAGCCTCGCGTCGACCCCAGGAGCCCTCGTCTTCTTCGGCGGGAGGGAACCGGGAAAGGAAGGTAGCAAAACGTAGCGGGGATGGCGCCCGCGGGTCCAAGACAAAGAGCGGGACCGGGTCGGGCTCGGACACCAGCTTGTCTCGCAAGCCGGGTCGACAAAGGTGAAGAGAAGCTTGGACGGCGGTGCCACTGGACCAGAAGCTTTACAGTTGCTGTTGCGTCATTTTGCAGAGCAATTTGATGTCGGCGATCGTCAACAGTCGTTTTTTCGGCTACAGCAATTTGGCGTAGCAGATGGTACTTCTTTCGCGGATTATCTTCGTGCTTCCATTTGTTGGTTTCGTCTGTGACTAGCTCTGAACGTACTCTGGATCCTAGTGTATCCATGGTTCTCGAAATAGTGAGGCATTTGGTCTGCAAGAAGTTTCCGAGTTTGTCTCCGATTTGTACCCGGGTGCCCTGGCCACGGCCGTCACTCCTTTTGGGTCGATTGCGGATACGTGGGAGGCGTTCGCGCCTCTAGCGACCAATAAAACCCCGGCTATCGGCGGTTCGTCTTATTTTTCGTTGTCTTCGACAATTGGCTCCTCGCAGCCTCGGCGGTCCCACCACCGCGCTCCCGCGCCCTCGGCCCAGTGGGCAACCGGTTCTGCTCAGAACCCTGTAGTTTTGCCGGTACAATCGCACGATACCGACCCTTTCACACCCAACCATAATTCTTGGCCGGCCTCGCAAGCCGATTGGTCTGATGTATACGCTCTCACTTCTAGTTTTCGTACCACGGATGATCCTTGTTTGTGGACTCCCTTGTTGACACAAGAGGCTCGCTCGCAAGCCTTCCGCGAAAACAGGAATCGCTGTCTGAACTGCTCGGGTGAAGACCATTCCATGAAACAATGCGTTGCACCGTTCACGAATTCTATTGGGTTGTTGAACCCCGAGTTAGACCTCCTCAATGACGATTATGCTGCTTTTGGACGTTGGCAAGGCCGTATGCGGTCTTTTCGCCGAAAAAGTGCGGACAACCGCCAAAACAACCAGGGTAGACGCCACCAGCGCTCTTCCTCTTCGTCCTCTCAGCGTCGAAACCACGCTGGGAATCCCCGTCCCGATGGTGGTAGTTCCCCTCACACTCATCTGACACAATCGCACAACAGTGGGCATGCCCCGGGAAATTCTGCGGGGAACTCTCACTCTCAGCAACACACTCCGGTCGACACCCAACACACTGGTGCTGTGTCCCTCTATCAACCACAAACACATGCATACACCGGTCCTTCGTCTGGCATCATGGTTTCGACCAATCACAATGCCCGTCAACCCGGCAACTTCCAACATGGTGGTCGTTCCCGCAGCGGATGACTCAACGGTGGTTCGCCTACTTCCCTCGGACCGCCTTCAGCATCTTCGGGGACTTCGGCTCGTTCATCACAAGACGCTCGTGTTTCACCCTCTGTTGCCTCTAATACTTCGGTTTTATGCACCAACACCAACACCTCGGTATCTGTTACACCTCCACACACTACTGTTGCCTCTAATATTTCGGTTTTACGCAACAACAACAATACTTCGGTATTTGTTGCGCCTTCACCCACTGTTGCCTCTAGCACTTCGGTCTTACGCAACGATAACCACACTTCGGTGAATGTTATCCCTTCTGGTACTTCGGTGCCACACAATAACAACCATACTTCGGTATCCGTTGTTTCTCCAAGTGTCGATCAGGTTGGTATCCAGCCAATTGCTCTCGTCCCACATACTCCATCGCACTTATCGTCTGCCACCTCTGCGTCTCTGCCTCTTCGAGCTGGCGCTCCGTCAGAAACTAAAGTCCGGCGTGAGTGCTGTTTTGAGGTGCGGGAACAGCACCGTAGGACCTTCGGTGCCATCGAGTACCGCTCGTTCGTCGGGCACCGCTCATTCGCTACCCCCGTCGTCTGCAGATCAGACCGGCCGTAGTCATGCGCTTTGGACGATTGAAGAGGAATCGCCTGAATTGGTTACCTCCGGTGAATCTTCGGATACGCTCAACTCGTCTGTGCTCGCTTCCGTTGAGGGTTCGCCCTCGATTGTTGCACCGGTAGCTAACTTCACTGGTTCCGACCGGCAAGTTGCAGGGCAAATTCGCCTGGTTTCGAATCACGTTGTTCTTTTGGTCCTGACCACCGAACGCCATCTGATTCCGCCACGAGATATTTCGACCATGGATCGTCTTCACGCGCTCCATCCCTTCCAACGCAGGCTCGCTCCACGGCGCTAAATCCCAGGCCGCCGCGACCGACGTCGACAGTGTTGACGCCAACGCTTCGGGAGGACCCTCCCGGAGTGACCTCCGAACAGCCAGCGGTCTCGCGTACCCTGGCACGGAGGAATGGCCAGGAGCACCATGCCCGGTTTGGTTTTTTAACCGACCCGGCCTTGGCGGCCATTTCTAGCGAAAACGGCCTGTTGAATGACACCTTGCGAGGCGTTTCTTCAGGTTTAGAATTGGGGCACACCCAGCATGATGCCGCTGGCCCAATTATTGCGAATAATCCGATTCCGGTCGATTCTTCGCTGCTCTGACATAGCTGAGACAGTCCCCATGGACGTCCATGCCGTAAATTACAATGCGGGCGTTTCGGCTACACCAGCTTCGGCTGCCACCTCAGCTTCGGCTGAACATACTCCAGGTGTTTCGGCTCCTGCAGTCCCCGCTGTCTTCGACCCGTCTAACGAGTATTGTACTCCTGACATGGTCTTCGTTTGGCAGCCCCCATCTCCCTTTTCACAGTGGACACAATCGACTTTTGTGGTCGATGGAGTGGTATACTCGTGTGCTGAGCAGTTTTNGACACCTTGCGAGGCGTTTCTTCAGGTTTAGAATTGGGGCACACCCAGCATGATGCCGCTGGCCCAATTATTGCGAATAATCCGATTCCGGTCGATTCTTCGCTGCTCTGACATAGCTGAGACAGTCCCCATGGACGTCCATGCCGTAAATTACAATGCGGGCGTTTCGGCTACACCAGCTTCGGCTGCCACCTCAGCTTCGGCTGAACATACTCCAGGTGTTTCGGCTCCTGCAGTCCCCGCTGTCTTCGACCCGTCTAACGAGTATTGTACTCCTGACATGGTCTTCGTTTGGCAGCCCCCATCTCCCTTTTCACAGTGGACACAATCGACTTTTGTGGTCGATGGAGTGGTATACTCGTGTGCTGAGCAGTTTTTCGCTGCGGAAAAAGCTCGCCTTTTCGAAGACCATAGCGCTTTGCAGAACATCATGCGAGTTCCCGATCCTGCCTTACACAAGAAGTTTGGCCGCGGTGTCCGTGGTTTCGATCCATCCCTTTGGGAACACGAGCGCGAAAATATTGTGCTCACTGGCTCTTACGCAAAATTTAGTCAAAACTCCGAGTTGCGCGATCATCTTCTGGGATCTGGCGACAAAATCCTTGCCGAAGCCAGTCCCTACGACTGTGTTTGAGGCATTGGCCTTCCAGCCGATGATCCTGATGTCCAATACACCTCTCGGTGGCGCGGTCTCAATTTGTTAGGCAACGCCCTTCAACGAGTACGCAGTCTTTTGCGATGCAATGCCCCGCCACCCGAGCGCAGCTCTCGTATGCTGTCTCCCAGTGATCACGTTTCGACGTCATCTCAACAAAACGCGGTCTATGAAGTTAGCCCTTCCACACACCAGCGTCTCCGGGCGGCCTCACGCCCTCCATCGACGGAACGATTCGCGTCATTTTCGCAATACGCTCCGGATGTTCCGTGGGATCATGACACCGCTGTTTGGGCCGTGTCTCCCGGGTGCACCTCACCATCCTCTTTCTCTTCCTTGCTTGCTGAGTAAGGTCCGGATTTGGTTGGTGGTGTTGTTACCATCGATGATGACTCTTTCACCACACAAATCCTCGCTCACAGTGGTTCGGCTTCTGCATCTGCGTGGGAATCCATGAAAGCCGCTTCGGCCGCTTCGTCGTTGNGGATGTTCCGTGGGATCATGACACCGCTGTTTGGGCCGTGTCTCCCGGGTGCACCTCACCANTATGCTGTCTCCCAGTGATCACGTTTCGACGTCATCTCAACAAAACGCGGTCTATGAAGTTAGCCCTTCCACACACCAGCGTCTCCGGGCGGCCTCACGCCCTCCATCGACTGAACGATTCGCGTCATTTTCGCAATACGCTCCGGATGTTCCGTGGGATCATGACACCGCTGTTTGGGCCGTGTCTCCCGGGTGCACCTCACCATCCTCTTTCTCTTCCTTGCTTGCTGAGTAAGGTCCGGATTTGGTTGGTGGTGTTGTTACCATCGATGATGACTCTTTCACCACACAAATCCTCGCTCACAGTGGTTCGGCTTCTGCATCTGCGTGGGAATCCATGAAAGCCGCTTCGGCCGCTTCGTCGTTGTCTGAGAAAAAAACCCAACCTCGGTGTTGGGGTGGTTTCGGAAAATCTGCTCCGCTTCAAACTTCGACTATTGTCCGTTTGAGCGTGCAGTTTCTCCGCAAGCGCGTTCCTACTTCCTCTCTCGCTGTTTGGGCGTACGCTGTTTCCGATGGTGCTATGCATCATGACGTGCTCCTCGGGCGGGACAGTTGGATGCGGATTAGCGACCGCTCTTACCGCACTTTACGTACGAAACGCCCTGGTGACCGTGTTTTTGGCGAGCTTACCCTGGCTCAGCACGGCAGTTGCGGTGCCACCGCATTTGCTCACGATTTGTCTTCCACAGATGGGAACTACCAACTTCGCTATGCTGGGAAACATTCCGTCCAACTTCACCCCGACCATAGCCTTGTTCCGGTTAATTTGGTGCGCAGCGATGGCTCTCCAGCCCNGCTGTTTCCGATGGTGCTATGCATCATGACGTGCTCCTCGGGCGGGACAGTTGGATGCGGATTAGCGACCGCTCTTACCGCACTTTACGTACGAAACGCCCTGGTGACCGTGTTTTTGGCGAGCTTACCCTGGCTCAGCACGGCAGTTGCGGTGCCACCGCATTTGCTCACGATTTGTCTTCCACAGATGGGAACTACCAACTTCGCTATGCTGGGAAACATTCCGTCCAACTTCACCCCGACCATAGCCTTGTTCCGGTTAATTTGGTGCGCAGCGATGGCTCTCCAGCCCTCGTAGGTAACTATCTCGTGGAAATGCTTCCACAATGTGCTATGTTTTCTTCCGAGGAACATTTTGTGCAAAATCTTCGCCAACGACTCCCGCTCGCGGGTATCTCTTCTCTCGAACCAGGCGACATATTGGGTACAGCTTCGGCTCCCCTGCTTCGCGTGCCTCTCAGTGCTGTGTCTCGCCACAGTTTGAGCGATGGTCTTCAATCTGCGGCTCAAGATCCCACCGCTGCTTCGGGCAACTGGGTTCCGGGTCCTGTTTTGACAGGTGGCATTGATTCGTCTGCCAAGCATCGCACTGATGACCCCTTCGTGTATATTATGCATGAGCGACCCACGCCGTCGCAAAGCGGCCACGAGGATCCTGGTTCTGCCAGTGCTTCTCTCTCGCCGTCTCCGCCTGCTCGCCTTGAGCGATTGACGTCCGAACAACGTCAGATTTTTTCCCGAGTGTGAGATAAGCTCCCCTGCCACCTCCGTGAGATTTCTTTCGATCTCCATGGTCCGGGTTGGACTCCAGATGTCATCACTCAGCTTGGTAACGTCCTGTGCGAATATCACGATGTCTTCTCGAGTTCCCCAACCGACTTTGGATCCTGTTCGCTTTTTCCTTTCAAGCTTGCAGTTCCTCCTGGCAGTGCACCCGTCACGTCTCGTCCATACCGCGTTAANATTATGCATGAGCGACCCACGCCGTCGCAAAGCGGCCACGAGGATCCTGGTTCTGCCAGTGCTTCTCTCTCGCCGTCTCCGCCTGCTCGCCTTGAGCGATTGACGTCCGAACAACGTCAGATTTTTTCCCGAGTGTGAGATAAGCTCCCCTGCCACCTCCGTGAGATTTCTTTCGATCTCCATGGTCCGGGTTGGACTCCAGATGTCATCACTCAGCTTGGTAACGTCCTGTGCGAATATCACGATGTCTTCTCGAGTTCCCCAACCGACTTTGGATCCTGTTCGCTTTTTCCTTTCAAGCTTGCAGTTCCTCCTGGCAGTGCACCCGTCACGTCTCGTCCATACCGCGTTAACCCCCCGGTGGCGAAACAAGTTGACGCGATCCTTGATCAATATCTTGCGGCTGGTCTAATCCAACATTCGACCTCGCCTTACTCGAGTGCTTTGGTAGTCATACTGAAGAAATCTGGTGGTGTTCGCATCACTGTCAATTATCGCAAGCTCAATAAGCTTTGTACTTTGAGCCAGCTTCCGATTCCTCGAATTGATGATACTTTGGATAAGTTGTTGAAAGGGCATACTTATTCCCTTTTTGACATGAAGTCTTCGTTTCACCAAATCACGGTTCACCGTGAAACAATCCCTTTGACGGCATTCGTGACGTCTTGCGGGCTTTTTGAGTGGTTGAAGATGCCTCAAGGCAGTTCTGCTGCTCCTGGGTGGTTTTGCAAGGTTGTCAACGAAGTAATCAAAAATCTCCACGGTGTTGCATCGTATTTGGATGATCTGATCGTTTTTGACAACAACCCTGCGTTTCATGTTGATACCATGCGCGCCCTGTTTGAACGTTTGCGCACACACAACTTGAAACTCACCCCACCGAAGGCCACCATTGGCACTACAGAAGCGAACTTCCTCGGCCACACCATCTCTCCCGACGGTGTTCGGCCTAACGGGGCCAAGGTTGCGGCCCTCACTAAAATGCCCGTGCCCAAGGATGTTAAACAACTTCGCTCTCTTCTCGGCGGCCTCAGCTACTATCGCAAGTTTCTTCCCAATATGGCTACCCGCATTCGGCCTCTGACCACTCTTCTCAAGAAGCAGGCGACGTTCGTCTTCACCCCTGCCATGGCGCAAGCTGTTCGCGTCCTGCTGTCTGAATTGGCCAACCCTCCTGTCTTGGTTTATCCGGATTGAGATGCCGTTTCGGACGGCTCGCGACCTTTTCGTCTCTACTGTGATGCTAGTCGCGATGGATTAGGTGGGACTCTCGAACAAGAACAGCCGGACGGCTCCATCCGACCAATCGTCTTCATCAGCCGAGCTACTTTGGACTCCGAACGTCATTGGACCCCCCCCGACCTCGAGGCGGGTAGCATCGTGTGGTCCATCAAACGACTTCGCGGTTCTGTGGGGTACTAAACTTCGCATTTTTACCGACCACATGTCTCTTGGGCATTTTGCCGAGGTGGGGGAGAACAATGCCCGCGTTCAGCGTTGGCTCGAATATCTTACCACATACAATTACACGAGTACCGCAAGGGTTCAGCAAATGGCAACGCTGATTTCCTCTCTCGCCTTCCGATCGATGCGGCAGGATGTGACCGATCTGGTCGCAGTCGATTGACACCGGATGACAACGAGGAGGGCGTGTTCTTCATCCGTTCTCGTGGCCTTACGCCTTCCGGCCATCGCGCCGTGGTTGTTGGCTTGGGTGGACTCGTACCCACTTCCCCGACGTCGGTCTTGGGTGGGCTGGCCCCCTCTACAGATGATTTCATTGACTTCCGTCAGCATTTCCACGTCTCTCGCCGTCAGGCCTTTCGTCTTCACCTGGCATCTGGAACATCGCACCCTGGCCGTCCAAGAAGCTCCGCGCGTTGCCTCCTCCACGACTGCGTAAGTGGGCCCTAGTTTGTTCTGGCTCTCTGCACTCTTCGGTGAAGGATGTTATGGCTCTCGCACCCGAGTCTCCGCCGGCCATCTCGCCGACCGCTACATCACGAAGGACTCTCGACCCTGCTGAAGTGATTTCCACGCGGACTCGTCGTCGTACGGCGGTTGTGGCGGGCAAGCCCCTCCCGCCTGTGGATTACGGCTTCTCTGACGACCCACCTGCTCCCACTCGGATTTCCGATTCGCCTCGATCGTTTCGACGTTCTCCGCCCGCGTTTTCCGCATTGACTACGCCCCCCGTGTTGCCCAGGTTAGTTTCAACTCCTGGTGATGATGATTCGATCCCGGACCCTCCTACGCCCCTGGCTTGTGGAAGGGGTCTAGCATCTTCGACACATCCCGCAACTTCGGTTGCCCCTACCCAGCTGTCCCCTGCTGTCTCCGATTCTTCGGAATCTCCGACGAGTTCGGTCTCAACCACTCGTACGCCTTCGTCTTCGGTTTCCGCTGCTGCTCTGCCTTCGGGTGGATTGCAATCGGAGTCTCATGAATCGGCTCCCTCTTCTATCGAGGCGGCTTAACATTCTTCGGCAGATTTAGCCTTCCGGGCGTCTGTCGAACGTTTCGCGCATGCTGATTGGGCTCGCGAGCAACGTAACGAACCTGTTTGTGATGCAGCTATTCGTTTCATCCTTCTGGGTCGGCCTTCGGCTCTCCCTTCGTACTTCCTCGACCACCTTCCGTCCGCTCGTCGACCTCCTCTGTCAGAGATCCGTGATCTGTCTAACAAAGGCCGGTTGCATGTTGACGATGATGGTTTGGTCTTGCTTGTTCGCAAGCAAACCACGCCCCCGTTGTCTGCGGCCACACGTCCTGGTGGGCGTGCTGCTCGCCTTCTCAACGACGAACCCATTCGGATTTATGTTCCCATGCTCATGCGTCCGTGGATCATGCAAGCATGTCAAGCTGATGCCTCCTGCCACCTCGGTGCAGCTCGCACGCTTAGCATGCGGGAACGTTTGTATTGGTAGGTTGGCACGAGTGTTTGCACGAAATGGTGGGTACGGCATTGCTTGCGATGCCAAGCCCGCAAATCATATCGTCAGACGCCTCGATGGCCTACTCTGTGCCTTCCGCTACCTTCGGGCCCTGGTGTGTCGGTGAGCGTCGATTATTTCGGCCCCCTCCNTACTCTGTGCCTTCCGCTGCCTTCGGGCCCTGGTGTGTCGGTGAGCGTCGATTACTTCGGCCCCCTCCCGTTGACCCCGCGCGGAAACACATATATTCTGCTCTTCACTGATCGTTTCAGCCGCCGTGCTGATATGTACGCGGTTACGGCTGCAGAATTCACCGCCGAAGGCACCGCTGATGTACTTTTCAATCGGTATATCCCTTTGTGGGGTTGCCCTTTGAGTCTCTTGTTTGACAATGGCTCTCAGTTTTGTTCTAAACTGTCGCAGGCTGTGTACGCCCGTCTTGCTATTCGCAAAGTGGCTACTAGCTCTTACCATCCCAATGGAAATGGGGATGTGGAGCGAGTCAACCACACTATTGCTCAGATGTTGGCTATGGTCGTCAATGAGAGGCAAGATGATTGGGACATCCATCTGCCGCACGTTGAGTTCGCCTACAATTCGGTTAGTGCCGCTACTGGTTTGGCACCCAACGAGGTGCATATGAACCGACTGCCACGCATGCCGATGACGGCTTTTGAGCAGCCATATGCTCGAGGCCACCAAAGCTTGCATCGCGATCAACTCGAGCATTGCGATCTTGCTGCTGATCGCCAACGTCGTTCTTACAATTTAGTTCGTGAACAGCACAACCTGTCCGTTTCGCGGATCGAACGGCGTAACTCCGCTCTATCGGATGCCTTGCCCAAGGTTCCCTCCTACACCGTCGGTGGATGGGTTTGGGTGTACAACACCGAATCTACCATTCGCCAAGGTGTTCGTTCCGGCACGGACGACACCGTTCTCAAGGCTAAGTTGTCTTTCCTCTGGACTGGTCCGTTCAAGATCTTGGCGGTGGGTCCGTGTTTTGACGCTCCCGACGGTTGTCCTTTGGCTTCCAAGTTGCAATAATTGGATCTTCTATCGGATTTGCCGGGTTCGGACTCGAAAAATCTTGTATCGGTTGCGCGTTGCAAGCCCTGCGCTAATCCACATGACACGGAAGACTTGCCTCGATTCCTGCCTGCCGGCCTTACACCGTATGTACTGAACTCCTTTGCGAATAAATCTCCTCCCTACCATGTTACGGAAGACTACGTTTCGACTCCGGTCGAACGTCTCGAGGTTGACCGCACTAGTGAACATCAGTCTGTTCGTGGTGGTGGTGGCACCATCGCTGTTTTATACCAAACTCATTGGAAAGGTCTTCTCCGTCCTTCTTGGGAACGAGAGATGGACCTCCAGCATTCCAAGACACACATTCTTCGGTACTGGACGGGTTCGCCGGATCAACACCACCAAAGGAATCGCCGCTATTGGGCGATGTGTATTGGTGCGGCCACCCGCGAGATGGCGCGCGTTCAAGGAGAGCGAGCCTTGCCTTCGGGCTATTCGCTCGTCTCTCGTTCAACATGGGACCGTCGCCTCGCCGATGATCCGCTTCCTGCACGCGCCTTCTTCTGGTGCAAAGCGCGCGATGGATTTTGGTGGTTGGGCAAGATAACTGGCCCGCCTCTACAGTCCGACTTCTACGTCGTCTGCTACTTAGATGATCCTGGACCTGTCAGGCTCGCCCTTCCTGATGCTCGCTACTCCACCGCCGAAACCGCCGTCTCCGGATCCTGGTGCCTCCAAGTTCACAGCGGCAGCGCCCTTTTTAAGGGAATCCTTCGCAACATCGACATGTCGCGTGGGGACGTTGGGACTGATTCGTTGTCCGATCACGTTGCGCGCCCCCGTTAAGACGACATGCTTGGTTGTTTGTGCCTTCTGTTGCTTTCCGCCTTGTTGGGTTTGCTTTCGGCGTTATTTGCATTGCTTCCTGCATGGTTTGGCTTGCTTTTTGCCTTGGCTGGTTTCCGCTTTCTTCTCACTTTCGTTAGTGCCTTCAGCTTTTGGTGACGACCTGTAGGTGTTTCGCGCCCGTAGTAGTTGCTTCTACGCTGCCCTGGCGGCTGCGAAAGTGGCGTATCTTATCGTTTTTTTTTTGGATACCGGTATTTTTGTCGTTCCGACGGTGATACTTCCTTTTTGTCGTTCTGACGACCTTTGTTTTTCTTTGCTGCTTTTTTTCGTTTTTCTTCGTGTTTTCCTTTCTCCGGTTTCGACCTTGTTCCGGTCGCCGTAGGCTTTTCTTAGCCCCGTCAGTTCCTTCCGGTGTCTTTTGTCGTTTAGAAGTCAAACGATGGTCTTGCGACCCATCCAGTGAGAGGTGTGGGAGAGTGAATTGTTCTGTTTTGGAGCTCCACATCATCTTTACTCTCATTTAAGGACTCGACAATTGCTCGCCAAGCTCCGAGGTTTTACAGTATCTGCGTATGAGAACCTCCAGTGTGGGCTGGTGTTATAGGATTCAGATGTGTAGACGGAACATAGAAGAGAATGGTTCCTTCTAGAAGGAGCGGAGAGACGTAACTCCCCGCGGAAGGATGAAACAGGGGACAGGATCTAGTAGCCCCTGCTTGTACTGAGGATCCTGCGNCCAGTGAGAGGTGTGGGAGAGTGAATTGTTCTGTTTTGGAGCTCCACATCATCTTTACTCTCATTTAAGGACTCGACAATTGCTCGCCAAGCTCCGAGGTTTTACAGTATCTGCGTATGAGAACCTCCAGTGTGGGCTGGTGTTATAGGATTCAGATGTGTAGACGGAACATAGAAGAGAATGGTTCCTTCTAGAAGGAGCGGAGAGACGTAACTCCCCGCGGAAGGATGAAACAGGGGACAGGATCTAGTAGCCCCTGCTTGTACTGAGGATCCTGCGCCCCTTGGTGTCATTCCTACCGATACCCAAGGCAACAGCCACAGCTGCTGCTGTTCTGCAAGAGTAACAACAAGTGAGTTCTTCTTCACAGGTCAACCAGACTTCATCACGCGTGCATACCACTACAGTCTACTACAGTACTGGATACGGCCGTTCCAAAGCCACCTGACCTGCGGAGATTGTGAACGTTCGGAGGTCTTGAAGAATCCTCTACAATACCCCCTACCCTCTCCCTTGGGTGTCACGCTCGCTCTCTCTTGCTCTTGTTAAATCTCAAGAAAACCGATGCTGGATTGGGCGTTGGAAGCTGGAACACCCACTTTGTGTTTTGCTCAAGACATTTGGATTATTAGGGAAAGCGACAAGAA